CAGCACACTGGACCGTTGAGAAATGTAAAGGATCTGAGATTTTACTCCACTTGCAACCTAACAAATTAGTCTGCCACAGTTTCACTGTTGGCAGGAAAAAAATAAGGCTTTTGGGTCAGAGACAAGGAACTTTATTACTCACAGTATTAATACAACAATTAGCATAAGCAACAGTATATTTTCTCAGTTTCCCCTTGCCTCAAGTCTTATGGGGGCAACATGGATGGGCCCAGATGGATCTGACCTCCTTGGCCTCCCTCAGTACAGGGATTACAACACGCCGAGCCTCAATTTTCTTTATAATGCCTTTTAATGAACAAAACTCTTTACTGTAACTGAATTTATCAGTCTTTTAGGGTCTGTGATTCTTTTCTATTTTATAGATACACTTTCCCATTCTATTGTCATAAAAATATTCTCCTATATTTTTTCCAAATTTAAAATTCAACTTTTTTATTTACAACTTAATCCATTTTAGTGGACTTCTGTATACGGTGTGAGGTAAGAATCTAATTTCACTGTTTCCTTTTGTGTATAATCACTTATACAGTACTATTCCATTAGTTCTGCAGTTCCATTTCATCATGTACACATTTCTATATATGTACATGTTTCTTTATGGACTTTCCATTCTGTTTCAGTTTATTTATCTTTGGGTCAATATAAAACTGTCTTAATTACTATTGTTTAATAACAAGCATTTGGCATCTGAGTAGTTCAAGCTCTCTCATGCTCCTCCTATTATCTAGGAGTGTCTAGGCTGTTCTTGGTCATTTGTTCAGGTTTTATGAAAAACACTTTTGGGTTTTTGACTGGAATTTTACTGTAAATATAGGAACAATTGGTAGCTTTATAATAGTGAGTCTTCCTAGTCAAACATGAAATAATTTTCCATTTACTTAGGTATTTAAAATGTCTTTTAGGCTGTGCGTGGTGGTTCATGCCTGTAATCTCAGCACTTTGGGAGGCCGAGGTGGGAGGATTGCTTGAGCTCTGGCGTTCAAGACCAGCCTGAGCAACATGGTGAGACCCCTATCTCTACTAAAAATATGAAAAATTATCTGGTTGTGGTGGTGCACACCTGTGGTCCCAGCAACTCAAGAGGCTGAGGTGGGAGGATGGCCTAAGCTCGTGGGGTGGAGATTGCAGTGAGCCAAGTTCACGCCACTGCACTCCAGCCTGGGTGACAGAACAAGACCTTGTCTCAAGAAAAAAAAAAAAAAAAAAAGTATTTTAATCAAATTGCACGTTAGTCCTGTACTCGTTATATTTACTCCATGATGCCTTATTTATCACTTTTAGTGGTATTATTAAAATATGTCTTCCTGCTTTGGGGAAATATATATTATATAGAAATATAAATGATTTCTGAATATTATTATTACAGACAACACTTTCCTAAGCCCTCTTATCATAAGTCAGTGCTTTTTTAAATGTTTTCCTGGTAAATAATATCATCTGTTAATGACGACAATTTTGTGCATACTTTCCTATCCCTTTCATTTTTTCTTTTCTTATTTTGCTGGCTAGGACTTCCAGTGAAAATGTTGAATAGGAGTGGTAATAGGTGGTAATTTTCTCGTTTCTGATTTTTACAGGAAATGCTTTCAGTATTTCTACTTGCAGAATATTTGCCAGAGTTTTTTGTATACAGACCATACTGGGTTAAGAAAGTTCCTTCTCTTCCTAGTTTGCCAAGTGTATTCAATTTCAACAAATGTGTGTCCACATCTGTTGAGGTGATAATGTGCTATTTTTCTTCCCTTTAACCTATTAGAATGATAAATGGAATTTATAGATTTTTCTATTAAACCATGGTTACATTCCTGGGATAAACTCAACTTGGTCATAGTATATCATCTGTTTTATATATACTGCTAGATTTAGCTTGTTGAAGTTTTATTCTTTTTTTCCTCTATGTGAATGTGATTGGCCTGTCAGTTTCCTTTCTTATATAACCCTTATCTGGTTTTGTTATCAAGGTTTTGTCTAACACAATTATTTAGGGGGAAGAATTACAAGAATCACTTCTTCTTGGGCATAGAGTTCAACTATACTGGAATCATCTGAATGAGTCCTGGCCACTGGAATTCGAAGTCACTTATGCTACTTCCAGGACTGGCTCAAAAATCTCTCATGCACGATCTTCCTCTTTTTTCCGTATCCATGCTGACAGAGGTTACAAGCTGAATGTGATGGTGGCACAAAACAGAGGGATCCTGAGTCTCTGAATGACTAAATGGAATAGAACACTTTCTATGCCCTGGACAAAGCACATTAGATTATAAAATGCATAAGCAATAAATTTTTAGTGTGTCACTAATAAAGAACTTGGTACACCAGTTGAACCTCTGCACATGAGAATAACACAGACTATAAGATCATGGCCCAGTTCACATGAATTTAAAATAATAAAATGTATACCCAAGAAACCCTCTATCCAACTTCAGAACTGGAACACTGCCAGTCCCTTTATGGTGTTTGCCTGGGTGCCTGGTTCTCCTCTAGCCTTTCTCCCAGTCATCCTTACCTCCTCTCATCCCACTGGTTAGCGCTAACCTGAATTTTTTGTTTATCATTATGTTGCCTTTTTGTTTGTTTGCTTTGTTTTGGTTTTCTCTTACACTAAAAGACCTTTTAAATGTTTTTTAGAACAGTTTTAGCTTTACAGGAAAACTGATAAGGAGGTACAGGGAGTTTTGTTGTAGACACAGGTTAAAAAAAAAAAAGTACAGTTTGCACAAACCTCTCCCTGACTGCACAAACACAAGCACAGTTCCCCCCAGTTATTTGCATCTTGCATTAGTGTGGTGCATCTGTTACAATTGATGAACCAATATTGATATATTATTACTAACTAAAGTTCACAGTTTATATTAGCGTTCACTCTCTGTTCAGTAATTTTCAAAATGTCATTTCCTTTTTTTTTTTTTGAAACGGAGTCTTGCTCTTGTTGCCCAGGCTGGAGTGCAATGGCATGATCTCAGCTCACTGCCATCTCTGCCTCTCAAGCTCAAGCTATTCTCCTGCCTCAACCTCCCGAGCACATGGGATTACAGGCACATGCCACCATGCCCAGCTAATTTTTTTATTTTTAGTAGAGATGGGGTTTCATCATGTTGGCCAGGCTGGTCCCAAACTCCTGACATCAGGTGATCTGCCTGTCTCGGCCTCCAAAAGTGGTGGGATTACAGGAGTGAGCCATCACGCCCAGCCTAAAATGTCGTTATTTCTTCCTTGACATATGAATTGTTTAGAAGCATGTTTTAAATTTTGTAAATGTATGGGGACTTTTACATTTTATTTTTGTTATCAATTTATAACCTAAACACTTTATAGTCAGAGAAGATTAGCTATATCATATTGATTCTTTGAATTTTATAGGGACTTACTTTTGGTCTAGTATGTAATCATGTTGGTAAACATCCCATGAGTGCTTGAGAAAGAATATGCATTCCCTGATTGTTAGTTTCAGAGTTCTATATTAGTCTGTTATATCAAACTCACTGCTATTTTTCAAATCTCTTTGCCTTTTTGGTCTCCTTGATGTGGTGGTATGCGCGTGTAATCCCATCTACTCCGGAGGTTGAGGCAGGAGAACTGCTTGAGCTTGAGAGGCAGAGATGGCAGTGAGCTGAGATCATGGCATTGTACTCCAGCCTGGGCAACAAGAGCAAGACTGCGTCTCAGAAAGTGTAAACCCTTTATCATTCTTTTTTTTTTGGAGACATAGTTTCGCTCTGTCGCCCAGGCTGGAGGGCAGTGGTGCGATCTCCGCTCACTGCAAGCTCCGCCACCTCCCGGGTTCACGCCATTCCCCTGCCTCACTCTCTCTAGAAGCTGGGACTACCGGCGCCCGCCACCACGCCTGGCTAATTTTTTTGTATTTTTAGTAGAGACGGGGTTTCACCGTGTTCGCCAGGATAGTCTCGATCTCCTGACCTTGTGATCCGCCCGCCTCGGCCTCCCAAAGTGCTGGGATTACAGGCATGAGCCACCGCGCCCTGCGCCCTTTATCATTCTTTAGTGTCTGTATTAGTCTGTTCTCGCATTGCTATAAAGAATTACCTGAGACTGGGTAAAGAAAAGAAGCTTAATTGTCTCACGGTTCCACAGGCTGTACAGGAAGCATGGCTGGGGAGGCCTGAGGAAGCTTGAAATCATGGCGCAAGGCAAAGAGGAAGGAGGCATGTCCACATGGTTGGAGCAGGAGGAAGAGAGGGAAGAGGAAGTGCTACACACGTTTAAACAACCAGATCTCGTTAGGAACTCACCATCATGAGAACAGCAAGGAGGAAGTCTGCCCCCATGATCCAATCACCTCTCACCAGGCCCCTCTTCCAATATTAGGGATTAAAATTCAACATGAGATTTGAGTGGGGACACAAATCCAAACCATATCAGTGTCCACGTCTATTCCTAATCATGCTTTTAATTTTGCACTCAGCATATTAATTTCTGAGAGTTACTGTAACAGTGCCACCAACTGGGTAGCTTAAAACAAATGTATTCTCTCACAGTTCTTGAGGCTAGATGTCTAAAATAAAGGTGTGGGCTGGACCATGCTCCCTCTGAAGGCTTGAAAGAAGAGTCCTTCCTGCCTCTTCTAGCCTCTGGTAGTTGCTAGCAACCCCTGCATTCCTTTACTTGTTGACTCATCACTCCAACCTCTGCCTCTGTCTTCATATGGCATCCTCCCTATGTCTCTGTGTTCAGATTTTCCTGTTCTTACAAGGACACAAGGGATATTGGATTTAGCATCCACCCTAATCCAGTATGACCTTGTCTTAACTTGATTACATCTGCAAAGTTCCTAATTCCAAATAGGATCATATTCACAGGTTTCAGTTGAACACGAATTTTGTGGGGTGGGGGGGACACTACTCAATCCAGTACAAACAGCTATTAATGTAGCTGATGCAGGATTTTCTGTTCCTTAATTCAGTTAAATTTGGGTTATCACACAACCAGAAAAAATAAGGCACATGTATACACTGAAAGGCAAGGAGGGCAGAATTTATTAAGCGAAAGGAAAGCTCTCCACAAAAGGAGGGGTCCTTCATGCAGGTTTTCCACCTCACAAATTGAATGCCAGGCCACCACACACGAGCTGAAGGCACATGGCTTCTCCCCTGCATAAGGCGCAAACTCCGCGTGGCTCCACCCCATGTACGGGCGCTTGGTCTAAGCTACATTGATTTATTTCCCTTACTGCACATGTGTTGAGAAATGGAATTTTTCACAGTGGGCATGTTCAGGCAAGGCATCTGTACACAATGACCTGGGCAAGTCAGAGGTTCTCCAGGGACCCTTCCCTATTTGCCTAGGCATGTGCCCGTCTCCCTTTTCTTTCATAGTACCTGTTTTATAGATTGGTCTAATATATCTTTTATCAATACTACAAGAAAATGGCTTACATGATTATGGAGGCTAAGAGGTCCCATGATCTGTCATCTATAAAGCTGGAGACCCAGGAAGGCCTGTGGTATAATTCAGTCTGAGTCCAAAGGCGTGAGAACCAGGGGAGTCAGTGATGTAAATCCATCTGAGGACAGGAGAAGATGAGATGTCACAGCTCAAACAATGAGGCAGGAAAAAAAAGGGGGGGTGAATTCTTCCTTCCTCAGCCTTTTATTTACACCCTCAACAAATTGGATGATGTCCACCCACCTTGGGGATGGCCATCTCCTTTACTGAATCCCCCAATTCAAATGTGAATCTCCTCTGTAAACACGCTCAAGACACTCCAGAATAATGTTTAAACAGATATCTGGGACCCTGTGGCCTATTCAAGTTGACATATAAAATTAACCATCGCAAGTTTACCCTTGTCAACTTGGCACCCATACGCATCTCCTTAAACCATACTTAACTGCCACATAAACACAACAGCAAGGTCATAATTCCATCTAACACGATTAACAATTGAGCATTCTACCAGAAACACACTAACCCATTTCCCAGAAGAGGAGGTAAAGTCTTCATGTGATGTTCACTCTCTCCTTGATATCCCATAACTTAAATACCATGATGTAAAATTAATCAAGGTTGAACATTGGAGCCAGTTTAAAAAATTAACAATATTTAAACACTATATTTAAACAATGCATCTATAATAAATCTATAATACATCACTATAATAAAATCAATGCATCTTATGTCACAGAATAAGGAAATGAGAAGAAAGCAAGCTACACACACACAAAATGGAGTCATAGCAAAATATGGAGGACATACTTATGACAATCGCAGTCTGTGTTTCTGTAACTGGTCATATGATCAAAGTCAGTATTTCTTCCACCACTTATTCTGCATTCCCTTTGCCTTCAGCAAGCACTTCATCTGGTCATGGTACTTACCTGGTGGTGACCCAAACCTTTATTCCTGAAAGGTCTGGGTCATTAGTGGTCCTGTCTGAATTAAGTTGTAGTTTTCCACTGACCTTAATCACAGGACATGGTAACACTAAGAGAAGCCCTAAGGAATCTCACATATTCCCAACATACTTTTCCTTACCACCATTTGGAGGTAGTCCAGTTTCTACTTGGTAGTCGGGAACAATCACCCAGCCAGCACTGTAACTCATTTGTCTATTGAGTTAGAGGCATGAGAAGCCCGAAGTGGCTGAGGAGCAGTCTTCAACTTCCAGTTCAATTAAATCATGATTGTACCTCTCAATGGAAAACATGCCACCCTATGGAAGACCTCTAGGCCAGCAGAGCATAAGTCATGACAACAGGAAGCAAAAATTTTGCTAGTGGGTCACTAGGGCTAATAGCGAACAGTGTCCCTCCTATTTTGACCCCTTGATTCCTGGACCTGTGAATCCCAGTCATAAGAGAAATGTACCATATACTGGATGCTGACTCAGAGAGTAGACAGCCTTCCACAGAACCTTGTCCCAGCCCTACAAGGCACTGTTGTATAGCTGGTGCTATTACTGTCTTCAAAATACCATTCCACTGCTCTATGTAGCCAGTTGATTCAGGATAGTAGGGAACATTGTAAGAAAATTCCATGAGCATGGGCCCACTGCCACACTTTTGCTGTGAAATGAGTTCCTTGTAATGCTGTGTGGAATACCATGGTCATAGATGAGAGATTCTGTAAGTCCATGGATGGCAGTTTTAGTAGAAGCACTGCGCGAAGGGAAAGCAAATCTGTATCCAGAGTAAGATCTATTTCAGTATGGACAAAACACTATCCCTTCAACGATGGAGGTGGATCACTGTAATTAACCTGCCACTAGGCAGCTGACTGCTGACTCTGGGAAATGGTGTCATATCAGGGGCTCAGTGTTGGTCTCTGCTGCTGGCAGACGGGGCATTCAGAGATAGCCTTGGCCAGGTCAGCCTTGGTGACTAGAAGTCCACGTTGCTGAGCCCATGCATAATCTCTATTCTTGTTACCATGGCTACTTTGTTCATGAAACAATTGGGTGATGACAGGGGTGGCTGGAGAAAGAGGCCTACTAGTATCCATAGAACAGGTTATCTTGTCTACTTTATTAAAATCTTTCTTTGCTAACCCTTTGGTGAGCATTCACATGGGGCACAAATATCTTCGCCCTTTTTGCCCATTCAGTGTCTATCCATATACTTCATCTCCAAATTTCTTTGTCACCAATTTTCCAGTTATGTTGAACTCCCTGATCATCCTGCCAAACCACTGGCCATAGCCTACGAATTAGCATATAATTGAATATCTGGCCATTTTTCCTTCTAAGCAAAGTCAACAAGGGGGACTGCTCAAAGTTCTTTCCACTGGGAGGATTTCCCTTCACCACTGTCCTTCAAGGTAGCCCAGAGGTGAGCTGAGTGCTACAGCTGTCCACTTTTGGGTGGTACCTGCATATCATATAGAAGCCTCTGTAAACCAGGCCTAAGTCTTCTCTTTCTCTGTCAGCTGGTCGTAGGGAAGTCCCCATGAAGCCACAGATGCAGGCTGGAAGAGAGAAGGCAGGTAGCAGAAGCGGGGACTATGGAAATTTGGCCTACTTCTTCATGTAACTTCCTTGTGCCTTCAGGACCTGCTCAGGCCCAATCACGTGTATACCATTTCCATCTGATGGCGGAGTGTTGCTGGGCATATCCAGCTTTGTGCGTTGGTGGCTCAGATAACATCCAGTTCATGACAGGCAGCTCAGGTTGCATGGTAACTTGGTGGCTCAAGAAGTATCCGTCTCTACTAAGGCCCAGTAGCAGGCCAAGAGCTGTTTCTCAGAAAGAGACTAGCTATTTGTTGGTGATGGCAGGACTTTGCTCTAAAATCCTAAACCAAGATTCACCTACAGGGACCTGCCAGAAGCTTCAAACAGCATCCCTATCTGCCACTGCCACTTAAACACCACTGGATCTGCTGGCTCATAAGACCCAAGTGGCGGAGCAGCTTTAACAGCAGCCTGGACCCGTTACAGAGACTTTTCTTGTTCTGGGCCCTATTCAAAACTAGTAGCTTTTTGAGACAATTGGTAAATGGGCTGAAGTAACATAATGAAATTGGAAAATGTTGCCTCCAAAACCCAAAGAGGCCCACTAAGTATTGTGCCTCTTTCTGGGTTGTAAGAGCAGCAAGATGCAAGTACTTATCCTTCACCTTAGAAGAAATATCCCAACATGCCCCATGTCACTGTATCCCTACCAATTTCACTAAGGCAGAAGATCCTTGAAATGCAGTCATATTTATTTCCTACCCTCTGATGCAAATGTCTTTCCACTAAGTCTAGTGTAGTTTCTACTTCTTGCTCACTAGGTCAAATCAGCATAATGTCATCAATATAATGAATTAGTGTAATATTTTGTGGAAGGGAAAGGTAATCAAGAGCCCCATGAACTGAATTATGACATAGAGTTGGAGAACTGATACACACTGGATATACAACAATGAAGGTGTGTCGGGGGCCCTGCCATCTGAAAGCAAACTGCCTTTATGGACTGGTATGAAAAAAAAGACATTTGCCAGATAAATTCCATTGCCTTACCAAATAATGGTGAAATAAATATTTCATACATAACTTTTATATGTAAAATGCAAATTTTAAATATAATACACATATTTACCTGTACTTTTGCAAATAATTATATAGGCCTGACTGGAAGGGAATGTTCCACCTTCCTACCTTTTTATAATGACAAATTTCTGATAAAATTCCTTGTTACCTAATGAATGACTTCAGTTTCAAGATATGCTAAATGCATTCAGTTTCCAGTAGCTCTGGGCACACACTGCATGCTAGGACTTGGTGAACTTGAGGACTGAAAGAGTTTCTTGGCCTGCTTGTCTGGAAAGTGCAGTGGTTCCTTGCAGACCTTTTGTCTTCATTATTTTCAAAATTTCTTCTAAAATAAAAATCAAAAGGTAAAATCCATTAAGCCATTTGGTAGTGTGCATGATCAATAAGCAATTTAATAAAGTTAAACACAGATGATTTATAAATTGTATTCATCAATTTATTTGATATACAAAACAATGTATATCAAATAAATGTCTATTAAAGTGAACTTAGTCTTCAGCTAAATAGGAGCACTTTGTATTTTCAAAGTGTTGCTGGTGATTCTAATCAGAATGAATGGCTTGCTTTGCAGTCACAGCCTACTTTAGGCTCAGCAGAAACATTAATTGTCTTTGTTATTATAGCAAGTGATCAGTTTTTTAGTTGCTTGGCTCCAATCTCTGCCCTATGTCTTTCTCTTTGGATGACAAGAGCCAATGATGGTGTGGGACAAACTGAATAGTGACATTGCACAGTGACAGTGGAAGAAGTAGCTTATTTCTTTCAGGCATATTGAGAAAAGAAAACCTTCCTTATAAATAAATAAAACTAAGAAGACTGAACTAAGAAAATGGAGAAGAAAGAAAAAAAGAAAAGGAAAGGTAAGGAAAAGAAAAGAGAGAGAGAAAGAAGGAAGGATGGACGGAAGGAAGGAAAAAAAGGAGAGAAGAGAGAGAGAGA